TTTGAAAAGCTTTTAACATTTGAATTACAAAATGACAAATTTTGTACTTTAAAGCAATACACAGTTACTATCTGACTACAGCTTAGTTGGGTCCTGTACGTCAAGCCCCTTCTGAGAGAGTTTCCATAAGGCATTTGTGGAGACTGCAGTCTCATCTGAAGGCTTAAATGGGAAAGATCTATTTCCATGCCCACATGGCAAGATTTGGTTCCTTGAAGGCTGATAAATTGAGGACTTTGGTGTTGTTGGCAGTTGGCCAGAAGCTGCCCTCAGCTCCTTCCATGTGGTCCTCTCCATTTGCTCCATCAGAAAGCATGTAAGAACACCAGAGGGTACAAGCAAGAGAGAAGTTGCATTCTTATGTAACCTAATCTTGGAAGAGATATCTCACCACTTTTTACTAGAACCAAGTTGTCAAGTCCAGCCCATACTCAGGTGAAGTAGATTACTCAAGGAAAGCTTACATATCGTAGTAAATACTAGGAGGTAGAGATCTTTAGAAGCCATTTTAAAAGCAGCTTGCCTTAACAACTTGTCTTTTGGATCTATGGATTGGGAGAGAGGGATTTCCCTACATTTTGTGAGGACAGCTGCAATTTAGAGTATATGCTTAACCACCTGATGAAAAGAAGAGAGTATACTGCATCAGGGGTAGACTAAGCCTTGTCACTGACTCTTCCCCACTCTTCCAAGGAGTCTGGGTACAAAGAAGTCTCATACCACCCTAGGCACTGAGTGTGGGCTGCTTCTCCAGATCCTGCCCCCTCACTAGTTGGGGCCCACCAAGCTTCAGTAGGAAGGACTGGCCTACTCTCTAGCAGCTTCATCTTCCTCTTTCTTCACTTCTTCCACATTATCCTTCCCTCCACCCCTTATTCATTTGCAATTCTAGGAAATTTCTCATTCTTTGCACTTAAAGTGAAAACAGTATTTGTCCAGAAAGTAGGAGATGGAAAACAGCTTTCCTCATTTGATTACCTAATTAGCTGAAAATAAAATCTCACCTGTGTCTATGATTTGATATGAAAAACAAATTAGAAAAAAAAATCAAGTGGACCTGGAACCTTTGACCTTCCTGCCTCAGTGAGTACATCCATTTCTTTTCCTCCCTCTTCCCTCCTTTCCCTTCTCCCTTCTTCTTCCCTCTTAATCTCGCCTTTCCTCTGCCTTGTCTCTTCCTCTTTTTTCCCTTTTCCCTCCCTTCCCTTCTCCCCCCTCCCCTCTACCTCCCTTCCCTTCTCTTTCTCTCCTCCTTTCCTTATCCCTCCCTTTCTTATAAGATTAAATGTGTCCTCAAAGAAAAATACCTGGGGTTAGAGGCATGGCTCAGTTGGTAGAGCACCAGCCTACTAATGAACGTGTCAGATACCAAGTTCAGGTACTGGTTTGGACATAAAAAATTAATAACCCCAATATTAATATTTCTCCTTTAACCATAAGAGATATTTTCCAAGACCCCTTTTGGATAGATGGAGTATCAGATAACTCCAAGCCCCATGGAAAATATGATTTTTGCCTATACATACCAATGGCAGAGTCTAATGTACAAAAATATTAACAATAAGATTAATAGTGTTAGAATAAATATAATCATTTTCTATAATAAAAGTAATATAAATATGGTCTGTCTTCTATTAAAATGTTTTGCTGTACTGTCTTCACCCTTCTTTTAATGATGTCAGATGACACTACAAGGTCTTCATGGTGAGGTGAAGTTAGTTGATTGACAGGCATTTAATATACCAGTAGGCTATATATTATTTGAACATAAGCATTACAGTAACCAAAGCTGATCTGAATACTGAGATAGCTACTGAATGACTAAGTGAATAGTGTATATGATGTGGATACTCTGGGGAGGAAAGGAATGATTCACATCCAAGATTTCATCATGCCTGTCAGGACAGTGTGGGATTTAAAATTATAAATTGTTTATTTCTGGAATTTTCCCTCTAATGTCTTAAGGCCATGGTTGGCTATGAGTGACTAGAGCCACAGAAAGCAAAACAGTAGATAAGGGAAAAATACTGTGCACCTTTTTTGTTCATAAAAGAATGCCCTTTGTGGTGAGTAGAACTTCGGTATACTCTTTGAAACAGGTTTCTTCTGGTAGGGCTTATACTAATTTTAAAAGCTTGCAATTCTTTGATTTCTTTTAGAGATACATATTTTTTTCAAAAACTGTTTATGGAATTTCTTTTTTCCCCCGCTAGTAGATTTTTTTTTCTTTTTTTTTCTGGTCTTGGACACAGGCCCTGGCCTCCATCCCTGAGCTCTTTTGCTCAAAAGGTAGCGCTGTACCACTTGAGCTACAGAGTCTCAGGACTTTCCTGCCCTGGTTAGTTTGGACCATGATCCTCAGATCTCAGCTTCCTGAGTAGCTAGGATTACAGGTCTGAGTCACCAGCAATAGGCTATATTTATTTTCTTTCCTCTGTCCCTGTCTCTGACTCTGTCTCTGTGTCTGTCTGTCTTCTCTCCCTCTCCCCCAGTCTCTGTCTCTCTGTCTCTCCCCGTCCTCTCTCTCTTTCTCTTTTTGTTGGTCATGGGGCTTGAACTCAGGTCCTGGGTGCTGTCCCAGAGCTTTTTTGCTCAGGGCCAGTGCTTTACCACATTGAGGCACAGTGCTACTTCTGCTGGGCTAGATTTTGCATTTGTGTGGACTTTATTCCCCCCTTATCTTCATAAAAAATTTTTGCTCTAAATAATTTGTGTATCTGTCATGAGCACTAGATGGCACTCATGCCCCACTGAAATCTTGTTTATCATATTTTGCTTGTGATCCTCAAGAGAAGACATCCTGTCCAATTTAATAATACTTATTTTTTGTTTTGTTTTAGAGTGAGTTGGAGAGAAAGAAAATGATTCTAAATATCCAAACATTTGGTTGAATTTTTCCATTCATTTGGAAAATAATTGTATTAATGATAATAATATCAGTCATTTATTTCACAAATGCTTATTATTGAACAATTACCATTTTGGGGACTGTTCTAAGTACTCGTATGTATTGGTGATAGAAAAAGAGATAATCACAATTCTCATAAAGCTTGCATTTTAGTGCTTGGATTTTTAATTTTTTTTAACCAAGCACTACTTTAAGCTCTTCTAGCTATTATAAGCAAATATAGTAGGATTCAATTTCAGACACTGATATGGTCTTTGGAGTTTATTAATTTCAGTACAATACTACTTCTTTAAAAAACAAAACAACCTCTCCCAAACTGTCATCTATTATATAATGTGTATCTACCTATTTATAATTATTTTCAAATCTATTCAATTCAAATATTTCTATTTTATTTTAAAAATACTGACTAGACAAATACTTGTATTTTTACAAGATACTTGTACTTTTTAATAATTCTCTATTTATTATCTTATCTTGATAAGGTATATCGTTTCAAAAACACTGGCCATGTTTTAACACACATTTAAGCATTGTTACTGCACTATTTCTTTTTAACCCCTTGTATTACCATTTAATAATTAATTTGGATATATTGTATTGATGAGAGCTCTACTAGGATATGGTTCAATTGTATGACAAAATAAGTAGCATTATGTGCCAAAAGTTAGTTTTACTTGCTTGCTCTCTCCAAGTATCATTAACATAGAGATAGTAGTACCTCCTTTATTTTTATTTAAGCTTATAAAATAAAAACTGATTAAAGTGGACAATACACTATGAAACTGAAAAATGGTCCTGAACCCTAAAACATTTCTTAGTCTCTGTATGCATTTAATGATTTGAGGGGGAAATGGGCAAATTTACCATCCTCTGAAAAGTTATATGTAATTTAGGGAAATTAATACTCGTGTTCCTCAAGAACCAGAGTTTTATTCCAAATATACTTACCCTAAATATACTTACCCTAAACCACTGGAGAATAACTGGAAATCACCTGCAATTGAACAAAAATGTTAGGATTAATTCACACATTGAAAATCAGTAAGTAAAACTTTACTTCAGGGAACTGAGAGGAGTTCTCAACAGCTTATAATAAATGATTCTAAAGTTTATATTTTTTCTCAACTCCTAGTAAAAGAAAGTGCAAACATGGGTTCTTTTTCACTGAAAAAATTGTTTTAGATGACAAAACTAAAATAGATTAGTAATTCAAAAAAGATAATCATCATTATCTTGCCCATGTAATTGTAACTCCTCTGTACAGTATTTTCACAATAAAAAAGTGTGAAAAAAAGAAACAAAAAAAAAAAGATAATCACTTTTGTTCACCAGCAAATAGAAGAAAGTTTCTAAAGCAGATATTTATTCAGCAGATGTTGCAATTGAAGTGTTATCAAATTGAGGATTAGGGAATTTTAGGAGCCTGTGTCTGCCTTCCATTGTATGCATTAGGTAAAGCAACAAATTTTTAACAATTTTTTTAGACTTTGTCATCTTCCAAATTTCAATAACTGCTACATATAAAATTCATTTTTCTTAAACTTCAGAGAAAAAAATTAAATGATTGGAATCTGGGAGTTTTAAACCAACCAAGGGAAAATTTTGTTGATTAAACATTAGCTAATGGCTTTTGAGTTTGCTGATACTCTTGCAGTATCAGCTAAAACAAAACAAAGCCAACCCCTCTAAGCTTATCATTTATTACTTGTGTTTGGGTTTATGATGCTGGTTATAAACTGGATAGTTAAAACATGGCAGTTTACAGGTTAAAAGTTCAAGATTAGATTCCAGAATATAATGCAGAGCTGAGCACAGCAGACTTGGAGTAATTTGTATAACATGAGAAAGATACACATATTAATAAAGAAAATTGTACTAATCAGACTGCCTGTATACACATCCTGGTTCTGCCCAACTGTCTAACCTTGGGCAAGTTGTTTAACATCTTTAACATTCAGTTCGTTGGGTTTTGGATTTGTTTTGGGTGATTTCTAAGTGTTTTAATTCTTTTCTAACTGATAATAAAAGCATATAATTGTACATAATAATGTGTTTTGGCACAGTGTACACTGTTTAAATCAGGTTAAACATACCTACTTCCTCGTTGTCATTTCTTCAAGCCTTTTCAAATGTACATAATTGTTATCTGTGGTCACCATACTTTACAAAAGCACAATTTCTTGCTCTTATCTAACTGTAACTTGCTGTACCTTTCATTTCACCACACTCCCATCTTCAGTTTTACCATCAACAAAATAAAGAGTAACACCTAGAAACCCACTCTGTAGTACTGGGGTTTGAATTCAGGCCTCACACTTGCTAACCTGGAATTCTGCCACTTGAGCTACACATATAGCTATAGGTCTTTTAATGAGTCTTTAGCTAATAGCTAACAGAGTCTTTAGCTAAAGACTCATTGAAAGACTATTGCAGTGTTTCGTCAAAAATAAGACTTAGACTAGTATGATAGTAAAGGAAGAGGCTGTTTTTCTAGCATTTCATTATTATGTAACTTGCATAAACTTATTTTTTCTTAAGAGTTTGGAGAAATTAACCTTTTGGTTTTTGAATATTAGTAAATGTTTTTACCTTGCCCTGATATCATATAGTTGATTAGAAAATTAGCTTAAATCTTTTTCTCTCAGAACTGTGAAACCATGATTCCATGAATTTTAACGTGCACTTAAATGACACATTTCACTCCATCTGATGTTAATTCTTTTTTATGAAAGCTGTTTATCTTTATCCCATTATAGGAACCTTAGTTTTTCTTCAAATTTTTGTGTTAAGCCAACAGAACAGTTCAGAATAAAATACCATATACTCTTCACCTAGATTCACATATTTTTTACATCTTGTCACACTGGCTTTCTCTTCTTTTGTAACTCAAGTTACAAAACTTTACCCCTAGATATTATGTCATGAATCCTCTAAGAACAAGAACATTCTTTTTTTTTTTTTTTTTTTTGCCGGTCATGGGGCCTAAACTCTGGGCCTGGGCACTGTCCCTCAGCTCTTCAGCTCAAGGCTAGGACTCTATCCCTTGAGCCATAGAGCCACTTCTGGCTTTTTCTGCTTATGTGATGCTGAGGAATCGAACCCAGGGCCTCATGCATGCAAGGCAAGCGCTCTACCACTGAGCTACCTTCCCAGCCCCAACAAGAACATTCTTGAAGTTTAAGTTGTTTATCCACAGTGTTTTAAAATTTCATCATTACATTCTGCCATTTTATTATTAATCCCTTGCACTTGGAGCTGCCAGTATAAAGATTTGAGTCTCAAATTGTTCTGTATTTCTTTGGTTATTCCCCATTATCTCTCTTATATCTCTCCTTTTTGGTCTGTAGTTAGATAAGTGTTAGATATCCATCTTAGCTTTTTTCCAAATATCATTTCTTTTTGTTTGCATATTCTATATCATGGACAGTTCCTTGAACTTCAATATATAAATTTGCTCTTCAGCTTAGTTCTATTTAAGAACTCTTTCTCTTGGAATATTCCTTTTTCAGAGCAACCAGGTTTTTTTGTTAGGAGTATATATTTACTATTTACTATTTACTGTTTGGTTAGTCTCTTTTCCTCCCTGTGGAATTGGTTAAGATCTTGGCAGGAAAAGAATGGATGGAACACTTAAAAGGTTTGACTGAAGTGAGTTTAATAAAGGTATTTACAAAGGTACAGACAAGATTAATGGAAAACAATGGTAAACATTTTTGTTTTGTTTTTGTTTTTGGAGATAGGATGAGACTGGACTGAAAATCATTAGGTAGCCCAAGCTATCATTGAACTCAGTTCTCCTGGCCCAGCCTGCTGAGTTCTAAGGATACAGATGTGTACCACCATGCTTGTCACCATGATAAATCATTTTGAGAAAAGAGCATCTTAGTTGAATTCCTAGATTTACCAGGCAAGAGTTTGGAGTAGTTACTAGAGCCCAGTGAGATCTGTGATGAAAAACAGGCTTTCTACCTGACAGAATCTGTGGCCCACAGAAGATTATACTCTTCTTGCTCAGTATGACAGAAAAGGAATTGGGAAATAAATATTCTGACTTCCTTTCTTATCTGTTTCAGTCTGTCAGTGGTTCCCATTAGAAGAATCCAATCATAAGCTAAATAGCAAAGGAGCCCCAATGATGATGCAATACATAGAAGGGACCATTTTGAAACACAAAACAGGATTCAATAAGGCAGAGATGTTTCAGAGAGATGATAGAGAACATTTGGCATATCTATTTCATGTCTACTTCATGGTGTTTAGGAAGACAGCTTGGTGGAGTGAGGTTGTGAAATCTTTAGCACTAGCAGAAGAGAGTAGCTGCAAAAACATATTACTCTGTTTAGTCAAGATGAGTGCAATTGAGTGCAATCTATCTTTAGAAAGATCTTTATTTTTTAAGATTTGAGAACTGGAACAACAGATTTGTTTTTATGATGAGAAATCTAGAAAAGCTTTCTCTTTTAAAAATAGTGTTCATTTATGTCATTTCCACAATATTGGGTGTCTTCATGGACCTCTTTTGTTTTGCTCACATCACACATTCCTTAAAATGGAAGATTGTCTAGTTAACTTCTTTGGCTTCATGTTATTTTTGTTAAATATTAAATGCTGTCCGGTGTTCTCAGTGCTATGACATATGGCCACACCTTAATCAAATTGATCAAAATTTCCTAAGGGAAATAGTGTAAACCTGCACTTACCTGTCTACTTTCTCATTCTAAACAAGAAGAATTCACATTCTTCCTTACTCCCACTGCAGGGAAAAATATAGAAGAAAAGTACTTAAACACACACACACACACACACACACACACACACACACACACACACACACACACACACACACACACACACACACACACACACACACACACACACACACACACACACACACACACACACACACACACACACAAATCTTAGTAACTTGAAAGCAAGCAGACTCCTCTCTCAATTAGACAGCTATAGCAGAGGTTCTAGGGAAAGGAAGATTTAGACAGAAATTGTAGGATTGCATGTTTTTATGTATTTATTTTTAAGCAAAAACCAAGTTCAAGACATAACAAAGAATTCCTTTTATACCCGTCAGCATGAACACTAGAGAGAATTAATTTAAATGGGAAACCAGGACTTATAAGGTATTATATTAGTTATATATTTTTTCCTGTTACAGCCTCTCTCATGGTTTAGGGGATAATTACATTTGCATCTTACATTAGACCAAAAGGAGTTTTTTCATGTGTGTGCTAGGGATTGAACTCCAAGCCTTGTGCTCTTGCTTTTCACTCAGTGATGGCACTCTATCAAGTGAGCTATACCTCCACTTCTGGCTTCTTCTTGATACTTGGAGATAAGATTCTCACAGACTGTTCTGCCACCAACACCCTGTTAGACCAAAAGAATTCTAATCCTTGTGAAATACCTTCAGTGTGTTGGTCTCTGATGATAATTATAGATGGTATTTTATTTTAGAATAAAAAAGTATTATCATATACTAAAGCAAATGAATTTTATTTTTATGGTTTGGGTTTTCTGTCTTAAAATTAGTGGTAGTATTTTAAGACACCAAGAATATTATAATCAACTTGGTATCAGTGAGTTGTGACTGAAATTCTAGCTACTCAGGAGGCTGAGATCTGGAGGATTGAAATTCGAAGCCAACCTGGGGTAGAAAAGCCTGAGACACTCCATCTCCAAATGTATCTGCAAAAAATGAGGCTGGATTCCATCAGAAAGAATGACACCGCCCCATTTGTTAGGAATTGGAAAGACTTGGAAAAAATTATATTAAGTGAAAATTATTTTAAGGTCTGGTGGTTTCCCTTATTTGCAATAACTAGTATATGTCTAAGACAAGCAGAAAAGGTCAGAAGCTATGTAAATATGACCATATAAGATGATGCTAAGTGAAATGAACCTCAAGATAGGTACTCAAGAGGTTTTATCTTTATTGCTGTTGTTTTTAATGTATTTATAATGTACTGTGGGATTTTTTTTTTTGTTTCCTTTGTATGTTCTTCCCCCATGGTATAACCCCATTTTCATTGTATTTGATTCCAGTGCCCTCCATCTTGTATATACATTTTTCTAATTTGGGGAGGGGAAGGGAAATAACAAAATGCCGAAATAAGGATACAAGTTGTCCCATTGTAACATTGAGATGTACAAGACATTATGTTAAAATGAACTTTGCAGCTTGGGGGTGGGGGGGAACTGGGGAAGTGGGGAGGGAAGGGATGATAGGGAAAAACAAAGGAGGGGGTAATGTACTAATTACCTTACTCATGTAACTGTAACCACTTTATACAGTATCTTTACAATAAAAAATATATTTAAAAAGAGGGAAAAAAGAAAAAAAATGGGGCTGAAGGTGTGGCTCAAGTGTGCACCAGTCAAGCAACCAAGCTGAGTAAGCATGAAACCTTATGTTGAAACCCTGCTACTGGGAAAATATATGTAGATTATAATCATCGTCTCCAGAGTCCGAAAGACAAAAGGCTTTGTGATCCAAAGTCTTTTCTACACCTGTGGACACATATATTTTATTTTTTTGCCTTATAGACTTGTCCTTATTAGGATAAAAGAAAATCCAATTTTGATGTTCTTGTGTTAATCCTCCAGCCCTCTTACCTTTGAGGCTATTGAGAAAGAAGAATCACTCTGCTCTAGAGTTTCTTCCTCATGTCCCAATGATCAAATAGGAATCTATGAGGACAGCTAGTTGGTCAAGACTTTTTCTTTACACAATATACCTTTCAATTATTAAAGTTTAATCATGGAATCAAATGTGGTTCATAGTACATTATTTGCTTTTCTAAGGAAACTTGCAATTAGGAAAACTTGTATTGCTTTAATTTTAGATTTTGGCCATTTTAAAGTCATCTTTGAGATATTTCAAGCAGTAAAATGAATTTTAAACAGTAATTTTAGTTAAAGGTGTGGCTCAGTGGTAGAACATTTGCCTAGCAAATACAGTGCTCATTGTTGAAACCTTAGAACTACTAAAAAAAACTCAAAACATCTAGATTACTTAGAGTTAGTAGTTTAACCACAAATTAAATCACCATTCCTGCCTAATTATTGAAGTAACCATTTACTTACTTGCTTGTTTTGAGACAGTTCTATTATGTGTAGCCAGGAAGCCTGCAACTTACTATCTTCTTGCCTCTGCCTCCCAAGTACTGGGATTACAGGTGTGAACCATGCTAGGCCACAAATTTATTTAATTTGAAACAGCATGACAGCATGATGGAGAGATTGGGAAGGGAAGATAAGAGTAGTTATTACAAGGTTTTCCTCTTTAGACCTTGAAAGATACCTGGCATAAGTTTAACAAAGGGAAGGAAGAGCATTCCTCATTTTGTTGATTCTTTGTCTTGGTATACTTTCTAGTAACAAATCTTCTGAAGCTTATTAGTAGCTGTATGAGAAAATCAGTATGGATCTCACTTATCTATAATATAAATGAGACTAAATTATTCTATGTAGTTAAAGTAAAATTGAGCCTCCTACTTATGCTATACTAATTATAGTCGTTGATGGCCTACTTTTTCTGACCCAAAAAGGTAAGTAAGGGAAAAAATAGTCCATACTTTTTACAGATTTTTCCTTTAAAAGTGATTAATTCAGCTTGGAAGCATCACTCAAGTGGTAGAGCCACTGCATGAGTCCCTGAGTTTAAACCCCAGCAAAGAGCTTATTAGTTCATTGTCATTGTTGTTTAGTTTTACATGAGACTTTCATAGAAATTTTCATAAAACTCCATGGTACAGAATTAGTAAAAACGAAGAAATAGCTGGTTGTGATGGTGCTTACTTATAATACTAGCTATTCTGGAGGCCAAAGCAGGAGGTTTGAGGCCAGCCCAGGCAAAGATTAAAAGGAGACCTTATTTCAAAAACAGAAAGCTCAAGTAGTTGCCTCACAAGTGTGAAGAAAGGCCTAGGTTCAATCCTAGTACCATAAACAAACAACAGGAAGAAGTAATCATCTAAAGGGAAAAAAACTCGGCAAGTCCAATTATGCAGGTCATATCTCTCTATTTACTCCAATTAGATGTTTTAAAGAAAAGGTAGGGTGATATACAAATTACATTAGTTTACAAAGCTGTTAATCAGTGCTAGACTTAAGCCTGTGATCCTAGTGATTCAGGAGAGATCTGGAGGGTCTCTGAAGCCAGCCCATGTAGAAAATCTATCTCCAATGACTCTTATCTCCAACTAACCAGCAAAAACCTGAGCTGGAGGTGTGACTCAAATAGTAGAGCACTAGATATAAGCAAAAAAAGCTATCCAGGCCCTGAGTTCAATCTCTGGTATCAATCGTTTCCCTCCCTCCTACCCCAAACTATTTCTTGTGATGCTTGTCTTAAAAGTCTCCAGTTTCTATTCTATGGGAGAGGGGGGAGGAGTGGCAAACAAATTATCCCTTACAAATGTTTTATTTACTACTAAACAATAATTAACAGGGACCACACTTTTATGCTTTCAGGCTAAAAACTAAAGAGGTGATTTGTAGGAGGCCAAAGTGGGTCAAAGAGTACTGTGGTGTGGCAGAAGGGAAGTCTCTGAATGTACTACCATTGTTTCACCTCTGGTGGGGTCTACTTTCATTGTTACGGGCTAGGTCTGTCTTCCTGTGAATGGAAGAAATGTCTCAAGAATACTTTAACTTTTTAAAACAGTATGTTGTCCGTTTTTGAAAGGTCCCTAAGCAGCAGGAGGAGTATAAAAGTTGCAGTAGATTTTTTAATTCCAGAGGTCAAAACCAAAAATATGTATTAATATGACAGCTTCTTGATGTTTGATATAAAGAATGTTCTGTGGGTTGGTACAGCATTCTAGTTGATTTTACTAGCTTTTACCTGCCTGTTCATCTTTTTTATATCTATAACAGATATTTGTAGAAGTGGCCATGTTTTAGAATCAGGGAGCGGTTTCAGACTTAGAAACCAATGTTATATTAGCTTTGAACATGTACAACTGGAAAAATATTAAAAGCAAGATCGTTTGAAAATAGCCATTATAATTCTATTAAGCACCACTTTGTACCTGTTTTACTCTTATAAAGTATTACTGTTAGAACCTACGAATATATTCCAGCTAGCTTCAAAGATCCTCGATTGTTTTGATATACATCTCAACATGATTTTTTTTTTAGGGGGGGGTCCAGTCATGGGCCTGAACTTGGGCTTGGGTACTGTCCCTCAGCTCTTCAGCTCAAGGCTAGTGCTCTACCACTTGAGCCACAGCGCCACTTCCGGCTTTTTTTTTCTGCTTATGTGGTGCTGAGGAATTGAACCCAGGGCCTCATGCATGCAAGGCAAGCGCTCTACCACTGAGCCACCTTCCTAGCCCATGAAATTTTCTTGAAAAGTAAATTTTAAGCTGTGGGCCAGTAGCTCATGCCTATAATCCTAGCTACTCAGAAGGCTGAGATCTGAGGATTGCAATTTGAAGCCAGCCAAGACAAAAAAGCTATGAGACTCTTATCTCCAACTAACCACCAGGAAAAAAAAAAAAATGGAAGTGGCTTTGAGTAAAAAAGCTGAGGGACAGTGCCCAGGCACTGAGTTCAATCTATATGACAAAAAAAAAAAAAAAGTTAATTTTAAGAAATGGATGAAGTGAATTTGATGCAAGTTGCAAATAGCACAGTGAAACTCTTTTGTGTAATTATATTTATTCTAATAAAAATTTTAAAGTCAAAAATAAGAAATGGTTTCCTGAGGTTTGTTAAATGTTAAGGAGTTGCCTATAAATTTTATATATGAAATAATGTATGCAGTTACATAAATTTTAGAAATTGGTGTTTTCTCAAATATAAAGCATGTTCTCTGCTTAAATGTCCTTTCTTAAGTACCCAACCCCAGCCCTTGCTTAGGGCAACAGACTTGTAAGAAAACTAATCTTTTTTTTTTTTTAAGTGCTGGTCCTGGGATTTGGAACCCCGTCTGTATGCTATCCCTGAACTTTTTTTTTTTTTGGGGGGGGGGGTCTGGTCGTGGGGCCTGAACTCTGGGCCTGGGTGCTGTCCCTCAGCTCTTCAGCTCAAGGCTAGTGCTCTACCACTTGAGCCACAGCGCCACTTCCAGCTTTTTTCTTTTTGCTTATGTGGTGCTGAGGAATTGAACCCAGGGCCTCAGGAATGCAAGGCAAGTGCTCTACCACTGAGCCACCTTCCCAGCCCCTCCCTGAACTTTTTTGCTCAAGGCTAGCACTCTACCAGCTGAACCATACTTCTGCTCCAGCTTTTTGGTGGCTAATTGGAAATAAAAGACTCATGTATTTTCCTGCCCAGTCTGTCTTTGAACTGTGATCATCACACCATCCTTCTGAGTAACAGGCACCAGCACCCAGCTAACACTAGGCCTTTTACAGCTCAGAATTTTGTTGAAGTTATCTTCTTTTCTTGTATTTGCCAATAATCGCTGAGAGCTTAAAACCTGTCATATGAGTGAAATACCAGTTGATTAGCTTGTTTGATGATTTTGGACAAATGTAGATCAGAATTTCCTGTCTTTTTTTCTTCCTCTTGTGGGCTGTGTTGCCTCTATCTTTGAGCAATTGTACACTTGGAAAGAAAAAGAACAAAGCAAGGTCACTGGATCTGAATTACTTTTACTTCTGTGCCAAACAAAACTTTTCTCTTGTTCTGAGTTAACAGTTTTTAGCATCTTTTGGCATCT